TGTGTACACGTGTGTGTGTGTACACGTGTGTGTGTACGTGCGTGTGTGTGTGTACACGTGTGTGTGTGTACACGTGTGTGTACGTGCGTGTGTGTGTACATGTGTGAGTGTGTACCCGAGTGTGGACCCGTGCGTGTGTACACGTGTGTGTGTGTACTTGTGTGTGTGTACACGTGTGTGAGTGTGTACACGTGGTGTGTGTACACGTGTATGTCTGTGTACACGTGTATGTCTGTGTACACGTGTGCGAGTGTGTACACGTGTGCGAGTGTGTACACGTGTATGTCTGTGTACACGTGTGTGTGTGTACACGTGTGTGTGTGTACACGTGTATGTCTGTGTACACGTGAGTGAGTGTGTACACGTGAGTGTGTATCCCCGTATAGCCTTTTAACAGACTGTTGGGGCAAGTGCTGTTAGCGAGCACCTATGAAGGCCGGCACGGCACACGAGGGGGTGGGTGACCAGCACCACGCCCGACCGCCTTTGTCTTCCTGGTCGCGATGATTACACATCGCTCCAGGTTACACACACACATATATATACAGTACGTACATGAGTACACACAATTACCCACATCAGCACAGCTACACAAATACACACACGGCTACACAAACACGGCTACACAAATACACACACGGCTACACAAATACTGTACAGTTACACACACACACAGTTACACACACACACAGTTACCCACGGCCACACACAGTTACACACACACACAGTTATGCACACACACACACAGTTACACAGACGCACACACAGTTACACAAACACTGTACACACACACAACAACAATGGGGAAGCAACGACAAAGATCCCCCATACAGCCTCTAACAGACATTTAGGGCAAGTGCTGTTAGCGAGCACCTATGAAGCCTGGAACGGCACACGAGGGGGTTGGGAGGACAGCACCACGCCCGACCGCCTTTGTCTCCCTAGTGGCGATGTTTACACACCGCACCGGGTACTCATTTGAGGCTGAGTCGACCTAGGGGAGGCCCAGTAACGGTTCAGAATAATCGAACTCAGGTGGTCGGGTTCGTAGCGCAGTGCGCTAAACGTTGCACTACCGCTCCCCACACACATACTGGCACACACGCATACACAAACGCATACACACACACGGGTACACAAACACACGCAAGGTATAATCGCTGTAAATGCACGGACATTCCTACACACAGCAGCAGACAGGCACACACACACATGCCCACAAGGAAGCACACACACACACAGACATACAGACACACACAGACACACACACACAGACACACAAATACCCACAAGGGCATCCAGAGACACGGACATACAGACACAAAGACACACACAGGCACACACACACACACAGGCATGCACACATACAGGCGCACACACACAGACACAAAGACACACACAGACACACACAGACACACAAATACCCACAAGGGCATCCAGAGACACAGACAGACACAAAGACACACACAGGCACATGTCTCAGCATGCACACACACAGACACACACACACAGGCGCGCGCATACACACACACAGGCACACACACACAGGCACACACACACACAGGCACACACACATAGGCACACACACACAGGCAGAAATACAAACTTACACAAACTTAGTGGCACGTACATGAACACATGCACATTATGAAACACACATCGCTACAAACACACCGATCCCCCCGTGCTGTTAAAGAACGTCTATGAAGGCCGGCACGGCACATGAGGGGGTGATGTGGACAGCATTACCCCCGGCCGCCTTTGTCTCCCCAGTGGCGATGTTTACACACACACAACAACAACCGCCATTCGCCACTAAGTGGCGGTGACGTCACCACGACGCCTGTGCCAGGCTAGGTGCACGTTGAGGCCACGTGAAGTGTCGAACGCCCGCTGGCAGGAGGTCACGGGGGTCAGACCCAGCAGGTGCCACGGGTCGACTGACTGAGATGACCGAGATGATATATAAACATCATACACACATACACACGTGTGTAAGCACAACCACACACTGGCCTACACATGCACATATATGTGCAAAGAAAAGCACACACGCACACACGCACGCATGAACACAGGAATGAACACAGGAACAACCACAGAGACATGCAAAGATCCCCCATATAGTCTTCTACAGGCTGTTAGGGCAAGTGCTGTTAGCGAGCTCCTATGAAGGCCGGCACGACACACGAGCGGGTCATGTGACCATCATTACCCCCGTCCGCCTTTGTATCCCTAGTGGCGATGTTTACAAACCGCTTATTTGAGGCTGAGACACATGCACGCACATACAGGAACATACATAGACACGTATAGCGACATATGTGTTCTATGTATGTTCACATAGACACACCTGCTCACGAATGCACATTTGAAAATACGCACATATATACGAAGACGCATGCACAGAGACACACACATACTAATATACGCAAAAAAACTTACACGAACAAAGACAAAGATCCCCCGTATAGCCTTAACAGACTGTTGGGGCAAGTGCTGTTAGCGAGCACCTATGAAGGCCGGAACGGTACACGAGGGGGTGGGTGGTCAGCACCACGCCCGACCGCCTTTGTCTCCCCAGTGGCAATGTTTTTATCCACCGCACCAATAACTCATTTGAGGCTGAGTCGACCTAGGGGAGGCCCAGGACGGGTTCAGATAATCGTCACTGGATGGTGGCCGTGAGCGGGAATCGAACCCGGGTCGCCAGGTTCGTAGTGCAGCGCGCTAACTGCTACACTACCGCTCCCTAGACACACACCTGGACACACACCTAGACACACACACACAGCTAGACACACACAGCTAGACACACACAGCTAGACACACACCTAGACACACACACCTAGACACACACACCTAGACACACACACACCTAGACACACACACACACCTAGACACACACACACACCTAGACACACCTAGACACACACCTATACAACAACAACCGCCATTCGCCACTAAGTGGCGGTGACGTCATCACGATGCTTGTGCCAGGCCACCTAGACACACACACACCTATAGACACACACACACCTATAGACACACACACCTATAGACACACACACCTATAGACACACACACACCTATAGACACACACACACCTATAGACACACACACCTATAGACACACACACACCTATAGACACACACACACCTATAGACACACACACACCTATAGACACACACACACCTATAGACACACACACACCTATAGACACACACACACCTATAGACACACACACACACACACCTATAGACACACACACACACACCTATAGACACACACACCTATAGACACACACACACCTATAGACACACACACACCTATAGACACACACACACCTATAGACACACACACACCTATAGACACACACACACCTATAGACACACACACACCTATAGACACTCACACACACCTATAGACACACACACACACACACCTATAGACACACACACACCTATAGACACACACACACCTATAGACACACACACACCTATAGACACACACACACCTATAGACACACACACAAAGACAAAGATCCCCCATATAGCCTTAACAGACTGTAGGGGCAAGTGCTGTTAGCGAGCACCTATGAAGGCCGGAACGGTACACGAGGGGGTGGGTGGCCAGCACCACGCCCGACCGCCTTTGTCTCCCTAGTGGCAATGTTTACACACCGCACCAGGTACTCATTTGAGGCTGAGTCGACCTAGGGGAGGCCCGGGACCGGTTCAGATAATCGTCACTGGTGTTGGCCGTGAGCGGGAATCGAACCCTGGTCGCCAGGTTCATAGTGCAGCGCGCTAACCGCTACACTATCGCTCCCCACCTATAGACACACACACACACACCTATAGACACACACACACCTATCGACACACACACACCTATCGACACACACACACACCTATCGACACACACACACACCTATAGACACACACACACCTAGACATACAAACCTACACACACCTAGACAAAGGTAAAGACAAAGGTAAAGACAAAGGTAAAGACAAAGGAAAAGACAAAGATCCCCCATATAGACTTAACAGACTGTAGGGGCAAGTGCTGTTAGCGAGCACCTATGAAGGCCGGAACGGTACACGAGGGGGTGGGTGGCCAGCACCACGCCCGACCGCCTTTGTCTCCCTAGTGACAATGTTTACACACCGCGCCAGGTACTCATTTGAGGCTGAGTCGACCTAGGGGAGGCCCGGGACCGGTTCAGATAATCGTTACTTGTGTTGGCCGTGAGCGGGAATCGAACCCGGGTCGCCAGGTTCATAGCGCAGCGCGCTAACCGCTACACTATCGCTCCCCACCTAAACACACACCTAGACACACACACCTACACACACACCTAGACACACACCTAGACACACCTACACAAACACCTATACACACACACCTATACACACACACACCTACACACACACCTATACACACACCTACACACACACACCTACACACACCCACACACACCTACACACACACACACCTAGACACACCCACACCTACACACACACACACACCTACACACACACACCTAGACACACACACACCTAGACACACACACACCTACACACACACACCTAGACACACACACACACCTACACACCTACACACACACACCTACACACCTACATACACACCTACACACACACACCTATGCACACACACCTAATACACACACACCTACACACACACACCTACACACACCTACACACACACACACCTACACACACACACCTACACACACACACATAGACACACACACCGAGATCTGTGCGCGCGTCCGTTTCCGACAGAAGCGGTTACGCGACGCGCGGTCCTGAGGAGGAAAATGTGGGGTGGGGGGGGTTGGGGGGGGGGGTTGGTGGGGGGGGGGCAGTGAGCGCTGCTGTAAACAAGGGAAGGGTGGTGGGGGTATGAGACCCCCCCCCTCTCTCACCTCCACCGCCCCCCATCCCCAAACTCCCGTACCGCCAGCTACTCACCCTCGTCCAGCAGGCGCTCGAGGTGCGTGAATATCCCGCAGAAGTTGGGCAGACTAGCCATGAGCTTCTTGTCGTTGATGAGCTGCATGAGGTAGTCGGGGCTGGCCCGGGGCTTCTCACGCGCCGTGTGCTCCATGTCCCTCACCATGCTCGGAGCGTCGCACGCCCGCCCCGTGCCCTCCTCGCGTCTCTCCTCCTCGGCTCACTCCTCGCTGCGCTCTGCTCCGGCGCTCCCGGTCGCCTCTCTCACCCACTCCCTCCCTCCCTGTGCGGCGTCTCTCCGCTCTGACCCCTCGCGGTGCCGCCGCTGTCTCGGCTCGCGTCCGCGCGCCTCTCTCCGCCAACTCCTCCACCACCACGACCACGACCACCGCCACGCGTCGCTCCTCGGTCTCGTTTCGCGACCTCCGTGCGTTGCTTCTCCTCCAGTGCACGGCGCCTCCTCCTGCTGCTGCTGTAGCCGCTGCTGCTGCTGTTAGTGCTCGCTCCCCGTGTGTCTCTCCTCCTCTTCTGTACCTCAAACCGACTCTCGCTCTGTCTCCTCCTCCTCCTCCCTCCCTCCTTCCCTCCCCCCCTCCGTGTGTCACTCCTCCGCGATGTGTCCCTGTGCGTCTCTCTCTTGTGTGCCTGTCTGTGTGTGTGTGTCCCTCCTCCTCCACTCTGGCTCTCTGCCTGTGTATCTCTCTCTCAGTGTCGCTCTCTCGGTGTCGCTCTCTCGGTGTCTCGCGGTGTCTCTCCTCCTCCTCCTCTCTCCTCCTCCTCCTCTCTCCTCCTCCTCCTCTCTCCCCTTCCCCGGCGCTCTCACAAACTTGGCTCTCGATTTTAGTCCGGAGCGCAGCGCGCACTGCGCATGCGCGCGCGCACGAGCTGCTCGGTCACACAGCAGCGCAGGGAGAGCGAGGGCGCGTGCGCAGAGAGAGAGAGATGGGGAGAGAGATGGGGAGAGAGAGAGTGGGGGAGAGAGATGGGGAGATGGGGAGAGAGCGAGAGAGAGAGATGGGGAGAAAGAGAGATGGGGAGAGAGGGGGGAGATGGGGAGAGAGATGGGGAGAGAGAGAGTGGGGGAGAGAGATGGGGAGATGGGGAGAGAGCGAGAGAGAGATGGGGAGAGAGAGAGATGGGGAGAGAGGGGGGAGATAGGGAGAGAGATGGGGTGAGAGAGAGAGAGAGGGGGAGAGAGATGGGGAGAGAGGGGGGAGATGGGGAGAGAGATGGGGAGAGAGAGTGGGGGAGAGAGATGGGGAGAGAGGGCGGAGATGGGGAGAGAGATGGGGAGAGAGATGGGGAGAGAGATGGGGAGAGAGATGGGGAGAGAGATGGGGAGAGAGTGAGTGGGGGAGAGAGATGGGGAGATGGGGAGAGAGATGGGGAGAGAGCGAGAGAGATGGGGAGATGGGGAGAGCGATGGGGAGAGAGCGAGAGAGATGGGGAGAGAGATGGGGAGAGAGGGGGGAGATGGGGAGAGAGGGGGGAGATGGGGAGAGAGATGGGGAGAGAGGGGGGAGATGGGGAGAGAGATGGGGAGAGAGGGGGGAGATGGGGAGAGAGATGGGGAGAGAGAGAGAGTGGGGGAGATAGATGGGGAGAGAGGGGGGAGATGGGGAGAGAGATGGGGAGAACGAGAGAGAGTGGGGGAGAGATGGGGAGAGAGGGGGTAGATGGGGAGAGAGAGAGAGTGGGGGAGAGAGATGGGGAGATGGGGAGAGAGAGAGTGGGGGAGAGAGATAGGGAGAGAGGGGGGGGATGGGGAGAGATGGGGAGGGAGATGGGGAGAGAGATGGGGAGAGAGATGGGGAGAGAGAGAGTGGGGGAGAGAGATTGTGAGAGAGGGGGGAGATGGAGAGAGAGATGGGGAGAGAGGAGGGAGATGGGGAGAGAGATGGGGAGAGAGGAGGGAGATGGGGAGAGAGAGTGGGGGAGAGAGATGGGGGGAGAGTGGGGGGGAAAGAGATGGGGAGAGAGAGATGGGAGAGAGAGGGGGAGAGAGATGGGGAGAGATGGAGAGAGAGAGAGAGATGGGGAGAGATGGGGAGAGAGAGATGAGGTGAGATATGGGGAGAGAAAGATGGGAAGAGAGATGGGGAGAGAGATGGGAGGAAGAGGGAGATAGATATAGGGATAGAGATGGGAAAGAGAAGGGAGGAGAGAGAGAGATGCGAGACAGAGCTGAAAGAGACTGGAAGATATCCAGGGAGATAGAGGGGAGAGAGATGCAGTTAGAGGGAGAGGGGGTAGTGGAGAGATAATTCGTTGAGAGAGCAGAGACAGACAGAGAGGGGGGAGAGAGATAGCGGGTGTAGAGTGTGCAGGGCGGGAAGGGAGAGGGGGTAGAGAGAGAGGGAGAGAGTGAGGCAGGGAGCGCGGATGGGCGGTGAGTAGATTGGAAGGACAGAGGCAAGCAGGGAGATTGAGGGAAAGAGTGAGAGGAGGAACGGCAGAGAGCGGTGGGCGGGCGGGGGGGGGATAGAGGCAGAGAGGCAAGGAGAGCGAGAGGCGGAGCGAGCGAGGAGGAGAGAGAGAGAGGGGGGGGGGGTCTGGCGGAGAGTGACAGTCCAAGATGAATGAGCACCCAGGGATTTGCGTGCCCCTTCCCCCGTGCACCTTTGTCTCGCGTCCGCGTTCGCGCGCGTTCCACTCATTCATATGTAGATGCCCGTGGCTTGTGGCCGAGGGGGGTGGTGGTGGTGGTGGCGGTGTTGCTTCAATCTTGATGAGAGCGTAGTACTGAATGTATATCAGCCTCGGCGGGGGTGGGGAGAGGGGGGGTACCGTAGCCAGGGGGATAGCCGCGCCTAAGCCAAGGCGCCCACACGGAGAGACCCCCCCCCTCCCCCCCCCCCACCGTGTCCCACTTCTCCTCCTCCTCCTCCTCGCTCTCTTACACCTCCCCGAGTCCACCGGTCGTGCGGAGATGTTTGACCATACTCCATCACGCCGGCTCAGTGCGGGTTGGGGAAGTAAGGGGGTGAATGGTAAGTGGGGGCGTAGAAGTGCAGTACAACGACGGATCTTGCTGCGATGCCCTCTGCTGCTCAACACGTAACCTTGCAGCATCAGCAGCAGCATCAGCAGCAGCATCAGCAGCATCAGCAGCATCAGCAACAGCAGCTTGTGGCACCTGTTCAACGCCTGATTAGCGTCCGAGACGTGGGGAGGCCCGGGCGTCGTTCGTGGACTTGTGTTCAGAGATCACGGGAGTGGTGGTGATTGCAATCAACGGTGATCGTGACCGTGGCTCTGTGGCCGTGCGGACAATTCTGCAGGAGCGAAGGCGCAGCCCCTGCAATGGACCGAGCGAGAGAGATAGAGAGATGGGGGAACGCTGGCCGGACGTCTGCGAAGAGCGTTGGGAGAACCCCAAGGCCGTAGCCATGGAGTCAACATTGGGGGGGGGAAGGGGGACCAAATCTTACAGGGGGTCTGGGGGTCCCGTCCCCCCAGAAAAATAAATATCTAAATTTGAAACCTAATTTCCTGCCATTTCCTGCCTAAAATATGAAAAAAAATTCACTAACACGTGGGATAGACTTTTTATGTATTGTTTACAATAATGTCTAAGAGTATTATTGTATTTACATTGCTCTGTCTTTTCTTGTTTTACCTTATCTTGTTTCATTGTACGTAATGGCAGAGATGAGGGATTAATAAAGTACAACCATAACCACAATCATATAAACAGAAATCTATTTAAAAGCAATATATTGGGGGGGGGGACATTTTGAGCATATTTGAATATTATAACATTATAATTACGGCCTTGGAGTACCCACACTTCCCCCCACCACACACACACACCACGCGATTGACTTCGGTGGACCGAGGTGGGGGGTGGGGGAGTGGGGGGCGGGAGGGGGAGAGTGGGGGGAGTTTGGGGGGGGGGATTTAAGAAACTTGTCCCATTGTTTGAGCTTCCTTCTCGCGTCCGGTCCCCTCGGCTACAGCGTCTCAGATAAAAAAAATAATAAATATATTTTAGTTGATGCTTAGAGCTGGAGCGCCTTCGACCCTCGCTGTGGAGTTTCGCGGTTCGATTTTTTTTCCAGCGGCCGCCCTGGATAATGGTGCAGGTGCTGTGTGTTATTAACCGCAAAACTTATGATGGTCAGTTCTAACACGTAGACACTCGCGACCAGTATCCACGGGGAATAGATCGCGTATCTATAAATATGATAACAATACGAACAGTACGTTGAACTTCTTTCGCACCGTAGGTGGCCAGCCGCTCCTGAACCGCGCCGCCTGCTTCAAGCGCAGTGCACGTTAAAGAGCCCGTGACGTAATTCACAAGAGTTAGGCCGCTGGGTCCGATCGCCACGCGGCACAAGTCAGCCAAAGTGTGAAATGACACCGAATAAATAACTCCGTTGGGGATCGCAAACAGCAGCAGCAGCAATCATCCCCTCCCCCCCCAAGCTACAACGCCTTGGTCGGCACCCTCCTTACAAACGAGTCTTGAGACTCGGTGAGGCTTAGCTGGGCAAACTGAATCAGAATATTGACACTACAGAAGGAATCCGATGAGCTACAAAGCTCTTTTTTTCAACAGATGTCCAGCTAGGGAGGGGTGGGTTCAGAACGTGATGACAACAATCAATGCGACAACACGATAGGAGTGCAAATTATAGGCAAGGTAAACAAACCACTTGAACGTATTATACAAATAAAGCTAAATATTGTTTTTATCTTATTAGGTAAGGCCCACCGAGTCATGAGCAGAATGATAATTTTAGCGAACACCCTGTTTGTCCGACCCCACGTACCCCCTCCACTCCATACCAACTCGAACACCCCCTCCCCACCATTTGAATTAATCTGGACGTCCTGGGCCCCGGCATGTGAATGACAGTGGACGCGTGGGGATGTTTCCTGTTGCGTCGTCGCTTCCTCTATTCGCGTGACTCGAACCGCAAACCGCAAGCACGCAACCATCACCATTACCACCACCATCACCACCACCGTCACCACCACCATCACCACTATCACCATCGTCATCACTATCAAAACCATCACCGCCACCATCACAATCATCACCACCATCACAACCATCACAATTATTACCACCATCACAACCATCATCATCACAACCATCACCACCATCATCAGCATTACAAACATCACAACCATCACCACCATCACCACAGCCATCACAACCATCACCACCAGCAGAACCATCACCACCATCACAACCATCACCACAACCACAACCATCACCATCACAACCAATATCACCATCACAACTATCACAACCACCACCACCATCACCACCATTACAAACATCACAACCATCACCACCATCACCACAACCATCACAACCATCACCACCAGCAGAACCATCACCACCATCACAACCATCACCGCAACCACAACCATCACCATCACAACCATTATCACCATCACCACCATCACAACCATCACCACCACCATTACAAACATCACCACTATCACCACATCACACCCATCAGAACCATCACCACCATCACCACAACCATCACCACCATCACCATCACAACGACCGCCACCATCACCTCCATCACAACCATCAAAGACAA